GACCAAACTCGCAAGTCAACACACCTAAATGCGTTCTCTCCACCCACCCACGCATGGATAGTCCAGCGTTTACCAACGTTGATGGTACTAGCTCTTTGATGGATTGGGCGGGACGAGGCTGGAACGATCCAGGTGGTAGCTAGTAGTCAGGACAAAAGTAGCTTGAACTCACAGTAGCGGACCACGCGTATCTGTCTTATTATAAATGTGTTTCTTGTTACCCAGCCTACACACCACCCAGTCCACGCACAACCATCAACGAGCACACACACATAATCACCCAGTCTACACCCAACCACCTCCTAGTCTGCACACAAACCACAAAGTCCACACACACACACACACATAGACAGCCACCCAGTCTACAAACAACCACCAAGTCTACACGCACCACTCGGTCTACACACAATCACATAGTTTACACACAAACCACGCAGTCTACATTTATACACCCAGTTTACAAAAAAGCCATGCAGTTTACACACAATCACGCAGTCCCCACACAACCACTTAGTCTACACACAATCACTCAGTCTACAAACAACCATCTAAGTCTACACCCAAACTACTTAGTGTACACACAACCACCCAAACCATACACAACCGTCCAACACTCAATTAGTGCATCTGTATCTGGGGTAACGTGCCAGAGCCGGTGGTCCCTCTCTTATCCTAGAAAATATTAGCGCTAGCAGATCCCCCCCCCCCCCCCCCCCCCCCCCCCCCCCCCCCTTTTTCCCCCAACAGCGACTGTTTTCTGCTCACGTATGAAACAGACGCAGTTGCCAGGATTTACAGTCTGCAGTTATTTGCGCAGGTCTGCACATCGAGCCCCTTCTCTGTACACCTGTTTTGTGTTGGCACGCGCCCACGTTGTGCTGCTGTGATCACTTTTCTCTGACAAAAAACATTCAGAACGGAGTTTAAAAATAGCTAAGAACATCTAAATTTGCATGGGAAACATATAGAAAAACATCCAAATGGAAAGAGTCACAAATTACATAGCTATTGATATACTTACCTTATAGAATCGTGTCCTCATCTTCACTGATGTCTGCCTCACAAGATCCGCAAGATAAACTTAGTTTGGGTGATGAAGCTTCAGGTCCATAATGACTCTGGTATGCTTTAGCATACACAATCAGGGAGCTATAAGTTGAACAGCATTTTCATACTGTCATCAGGCCAAGTTTTGTTGTCAAGATAGCATTTAAGAGGTAAAGTTTCATCCTATTTCTTAGGTTAGATTTGATATAATTCATAGCACTGAAAATTCTTTCTACGTCAGCATTTGAGTCGGGTAGTATCATGGCACATTCAAAGAGCTCACAGAACGGACTGTGATGAGGCATCTTTAAATTGTCTTACTTCACTCCAAAACGCTTGTTTCTGTATTGTTTGTCCTTTCAACTAAGTTTATTTTGGTTAACTAATTTTCTGCTTCCGCGACACTATTATCAGTAGCTCCTAAAAATGTCCTAACTTACAATATTTAGGTATGTCGTTTACTGGCTGAATGAAGTATGTTGCTCACAGAAAAGAGTGAACTATTTTTCAATACATCTAGATTTTCAGGAAGTCTCTGCTTCAATTGCTTGAATAATGAGATAAGTGAATCTTCACAGCGTTTTCTTAAGTTGTTCTCTTTATTCTCTTTTTTTTTCTTTTTCTTAAATCAACAATTTTTGATTCTGTCAGAAATAGTGTTTTTAAACAAATCAATCAAATGGTCACAGTTTGAAACTGCACAATGACAACTTAAAAACATTGCGAACGATCCTTCAGCTTCTGATGAGTCATTTATCAGTGTAGTTATGAAAACAGATGTCAGCGGTGTAATATCTTTGAATGGAACTGCAGTTTTATGCTTTTTAGTCTCTGCATGCCTCTTGTATTTTCGCTTTAATTTCACACTTGCAGTACTTAAACCAGCGTTAGTCGTATCCACAGGAACTGCTATCACCCAGTCTTTAATTTTGTCATCATGCAGCCACTCTTTCCGACATTTTTACTCATACTTTACATTTGGCATCTTGAAAGGTTTTTCAAAGTGAAAGCCACACATGAAGGTGAGCATTTTTTATAAAATCACATGGAAAAAAAAAAAAAACACAAAGTCAACACAGTGAGGATACGGTTGAAAAAAAAGTTAGTATGATTTACGCGCGCTTTAAATCAGTACCGGGGCTGCCAGAAATTTGAGCGTTGACCTCAGTGAGAGTTCAAAGTTTAAGTAATCGCAATTGTCAAAATGTACGTGCCAGACCAAAACAAAAATATTGTAGTAAATATTTTCCACAGTAATTATTAAACCGACACTGAAAGAAAATAAAGCTGTAAAATATCTAACTCCAAATGAAAAAAATTTAGAAAAACATTTACCATCTGAACCTCAAAAACCCCATCTAAATGCAAGGGAAAACATCTAAATCTGGATGTAAAACATCCAAAGTGGCAACACTGGCTGTGATACTGTTGCCTGTTGAGATCATTGCCTGCTGGTGCAGCGCTTGCAAGAACTAAACCTACCAACAGAGACCATATTTGAGTACCAGCTGTTCGTGTTACTGGTTCAGTTTCGACGTCTACAAACGTGGTGGAAATACTCTGGGCCGTGCCGTGCTATGATACAGAGTGTCGGTCGCATCAGGCGGCACCAAAATAGGGCGACATAAAACTACAATTTGAATTTTTGATCTGACAGCTCGAAGCTCTTTGGGGGTGCATTTTAAAGACTTGCATCAGATAAAAATCTACCGTATGGGGCTGGAAATACTTGTTCTCTTGGGTGCGCCAAACTTCCCGTTTAGGAAATAAATTTGCAGACGGTGATTACAATTAGGGCTGGACAGACTGGAGTTGAGAGGGGATACAAAACATTAGAATGTGACAATAAAAGAGATGGTTTCAGACAGCAGTGATCCCCTTGGGGGCTCCACAACCATACTGGGGTGGGGAGACCCGACGCTTCCTAAAATGCATGACGTAAAGGCGACTTATTAGGGAACTCCTAAAGGGCGATTTGTCGAGCTGAAAGGCTCATATACAGGTGCTTTGCTGTAAACCACAATTACAACGCAAAATATCATGCACTTTTTAAAGGCAAGTTAAAAGGGAAAAATAGTATTACTAATACTACGCACTAGATTTTCTGACCTAGCATGACTTTTTTTTTTCAGAAGAACAAATCATTCTCGTATCTAGGAAATTGTCACTAATCACTTCGGTGTTACTGCAAGAAGCGGAACAACTCTGACATCAGAACATAGGACACATACACAAAACAGGCGGGGGTGGGGGATTGTCACTGACTTGTAATTAGTATTGTTTCAAGAAAGCTGAAACACTTCAGCTATAATCAACGTTATGATGTCAAAGGTCAGGAGGATCTCTACGTTGTCGTGTGGAAGGACCGAGTGGTTTTCACGCATGCCGTAATTAGAGCGTATTCTGCAGGGGACTGCTATATCATGATAGTTATTTCAGAAAGTCGAACCTGCATGCCCACATACTATGTTCTGCCTAGTAACATCATGTCTGCTGTCTAGTAACAGCTTTCATACTCTGGTATGTCTAGTAACAGCTTTCATACTCTACTATGTCTAGTAACAGCGTTCATACTCTGCTATGTCTAGTAACAGCGTTCATACTCTGCTATGTCTAGTAACAGCTTTCATACTCTGGTATGTCTAGTACCAGCGTTTATACTCTGCTGTCTAGTAACAGCTTTCATACTCTGGTATGTCTAGTAACAGCTTTCATACTCTGGTATGTCTAGTAACAGCTTTCATAATCTGCTATGTCTAGTAACAGCGTTCATACTCTGCTATGTCTAGTAACAGCGTTCATACTCTGCTATGTCTAGTAACAGCGTTCATACTCTGCTATGTCTAGTAACAGCGTTCATACTCTGCTATGTCTAGTAACAGCGTTCATACTCTGCTATGTCTAGTAACGGCTTTCATACTCTGGTATGTCTAGTAACAGCTTTCATACTCTGGTATGTCTAGTAACAGCTTTCGTACTCTGGTATGTCTAGTAACAGCTTTCGTACTCTGGTATGTCTAGTAACAGCTTTCATACTCTGGTATGTCTAGTAACAGCTTTCATACTCTGGTATGTCTAGTAACAGCTTGCGTACTCTGGTATGTCTAGTAACAGCTTTCATACTCTGGTATGTCTAGTAACAGCTTTCGTACTCTGGTATGTCTAGTAACAGCTTTCGTACTCTGGTATGTCTAGTAACAGCTTTCGTACTCTGGTATGTCTAGTAACAGCTTTCATACTCTGGTATGTCTAGTAACAGCTTTCATACTCTGGTATGTCTAGTGACAGCTTTCATACTCTGGTATGTCTAGTAACAGCTTTCATACTCTGGTATGTCTAGTAATAGCTTTCGTACTCTGCTGTGTCTAGTAACAGCTTTCATACTCTGGTATGTCTAGTAACAGCTTTCGTACTCTGCTGTGTCTAGTAACAGCTTTCATACTCTGGTATGTCTAGTAACAGCTTTCGTACTCTGCTGTGTCTAGTAACAGTCTGATATGTCCCACGAGGACAAGAATCATTAGTAGCACGTTGATCATGTCTGTGCTGTAGCACGTTGATCATGTCTGTGCTGTAGCACGTTGATCATGTCTAGGCTGTAGCACGTTGATCATGTCTAGGCGGTAGCACGTTGATCATGTCTGTGCTGTAGCACGTTGATCATGTCTAAGCTGGAGCACGTTGATCATGTCTAGGCGGTAGCACGTTGATCATGTCTGTGCTGTAGCACGTTGATCACGTCTAGGCTGTAGCTCGTTGATCATGTCTGTGCTGTAGCACGTTGATCATGTCTAGGCTGTAGCTCGTTGATCATGTCTGTGCTGTAGCACGTTGATCATGTCTGTGCTGTAGCACGTTGATCATGTCTGTGCTGTAGCACGTTGATCATGTCTAGGCTGTAGCACGTTGATCATGTCTGTGCTGTAGCACGTTGATCATGTCTAGGCTGTAGCACGTTGATCATGTCTAGGCTGTAGCTCGTTGATCATGTCTGTGCTGTAGCACGTTGATCATGTCTGTGCTGTAGCTCGTTGATCATGTCTGTGCTGTAGCACGTTGATCATGTCTGTGCTGTAGCACGTTGATCATGTCTGTGCTGTAGCTCGTTGATCATGTCTGTGCTGTAGCACGTTGATCATGTCTAGACTGTAGCTCGTTGATCATGTCTGTGCTGTAGCACGTTGATCATGTCTGTGCTGTAGCACGTTGATCATGTCTGTGCTGTAGCACGTTGATCATGTCTAGGCTGTAGCACGTTGATCATGTCTAGGCTGTAGCTCGTTGATCATGTCTGTGCTGTAGCTCGTTGATCATGTCTAGGCTGTAGCACGTTGATCATGTCTGTGCTGTAGCTCGTTGATCATGTCTAGGCAGTAGCACGTTGATCATGTCTGTGCTGTAGCACGTTGATCATGTCTAGGCTGTAGCACGTTGATCATGTCTAGGCGGTAGCACGTTGATCATGTCTGTGCTGTAGCACGTTGATCATGTCTAGGCTGTAGCTCGTTGATCATGTCTGTGCTGTAGCACGTTGATCATGTCTAGGCTGTAGCTCGTTGATCATGTCTGTGCTGTAGCACGTTGATCATGTCTGTGCTGTAGCACGTTGATCATGTCTGTGCTGTAGCACGTTGATCATGTCTGTGCTGTAGCACGTTGATCATGTCTAGGCTGTAGCACGTTGATCATGTCTAGGCTGTAGCTCGTTGATTATGTCTGTGCTGTAGCTCGTTGATCATGTCTGTGCTGTAGCTCGTTGATCATGTCTAGGCTGTAGCACGTTGATCATGTCTGTGCTGTAGCTCGTTGATCATGTCTAGGCAGTAGCACGTTGATCATGTCTGTGCTGTAGCACGTTGATCATGTCTAGGCGGTAGCACGTTGATCATGTCTAGGCTGTAGCTCGTTGATCATGTCTAGGCTGTAGCTCGTTGATCATGTCTGTGCTGTAGCTCGTTGATCATGTCTGTGCTGTAGCTCGTTGATCATGTCTAGGCTGTGGCTCGTTGATCATGTCTAGGCTGTGGCTCGTTGATTATGTCTAGGCTGTAGCTCGTTGATCATGTCTAGGCTGTAGCACGTTGATCATGTCTAGGCTGTAGCACGTTGATCATGTCTAGGCTGTAGCACGTTGATCATGTCTAGGCTGTAGCACGTTGATCATGTCTAGGCTGTAGCACGTTGATCATGTCTAGGCTGTAGCACGTTGATCATGTCTAGGCTGTAGCACGTTGATCATGTCTAGGCTGTAGCACGTTGATCATGTCTAGGCTGTAGCACGTTGATCATGTCTAGGCTGTAGCACGTTGATCATGTCTAGGCTGTAGCAGGTTGATCATGTCTAGGCTGTAGCTCGTTGATAATGTCTGTGCTGTAGCACGTTGATCATGTCTAGGCTGTAGCACGTTGATCATGTCTAGGCTGTAGCTCGTTGACCATGTCTGTGCTGTAGCTCGTTGATCATGTCTAGGCTGTAGCACGTTGATCATCTCTGTGCTGGGGCCTGTTGACCATGTCTGTCCTGTCTTCTCCCCAGGTCAACCCCAAGGGTATCGCCGGCAGAGCAGGGCTCCACAACGGCGACGCCGTCATTCAGATTTGTGGGACACCTGTGCACGGTTACACGCACCAGGAGGCCAAGAATGAGCTTATGAGAGCCGGCAACGAGGTGGACCTGTATGTTGTCAGGTAAGAAAGATGGCACCTGTATGTTGTCAGGTGAGAGGGGACCTGTATGTTGTCAGGTAAAGGGGGCCTGTATGTTTACAGGTGAGGGGGGGGGGAGCTGTATGTTTACAGGTGAGGGGGCACCTGCATGTTGTCAGGTGAAGGGGGCCTGTATGTTTACAGGTGAGGAAGGGGGACCTGTATGTTGTCAGGTGAAGAGGGCCTGTATGTTGTCAGGTGAGGGGGGGGGGGGGGGGCTGTATGTTGTCAGGTGAATGGGACCTGTATGTTGTCAGGTGAAGGGGGCCTGTATGTTGTCAGGTGAGGGGGGGAGGGGCTGTATGTTGTCAGGTAAGGGGGGACCTGTATGTTGTCAGGTGAGGGGGGTGCCTGTATGTTTACAGGTGAGGGGGACCTGTATGTTTACAGGTGAGGGGGGGGACCTGTATGTTTACAGGTGAGGGGGGGGACCTGTATGTTTACAGGTGGGGGGGGGGGACCTGTATGTTGTCAGGTGAGAGGGGGACCTGTATGTTGTCAGGTGAGAGGGGGACCTGTATGTTGTCAGGTGAGGGGGGGGGCTGTATGTTGTCAGGTGAAGGGGGCCTGTATGTTTACAGGTGAGGGGGCACCTGCATGTTGTCAGGTGAAGGGGGCCTGTATGTTTACAGGTGAGGAGCACCTGCATGTTGTCAGGTGAAGGGGGCCTGTATGTTGTCAGGTAAGAAAGATGGCACCTGCATGTTGTCAGGTGAGAGGGGACCTGTATGTTTACAGGTGAGGGAGGGGGGACCTGTATGTTTACAGGTGAGAGGGGACTTGTATGTTTACAGGTGAGGGGGGACCTGTATGTTTATAGGTGAGAGGGGACTTGTATGTTTACAGGTGAGAGGGGACCTGTATGTTGTCAGGTGAGAGGGGACTTGTATGTTTACAGGTGAGAGGGGACCTGTATGTTGTCAGGTGAGAGGGGACCTGTATGTTTACAGGTGAGGGAGGGGGGGACCTGTATGTTTACAGGTGAGAGGGGACCTGTATGTTTACAGGTGAGGGGGGACCTGTATGTTTACAGGTGAGGGGGGGACCTGTATGTTGTCAGGTGAGGGGGGACCTGTATGTTGTCAGGTGAGGGGGGGACCTGTATGTTTACAGGTGAGGGGGGACCTGTATGTTTACAGGTGAGGGGGGACCTGTATGTTGTCAGGTGAGGGGGAGACCTGTATGTTTACAGGTGAGGGGGCACCTGCATGTTGTCAGGTGAAGGGGGCCTGTATGTTGTCAGGTAAGAAAGATGGCACCTGCATGTTGTCAGGTGAGAGGGGACCTGTATGTTTACAGGTGAGGGAGGGGGGACCTGTATGTTGTCAGGTGAGAGGAGACCTGTATGTTGTCAGGTGAGAGAGGACCTGTATGTTTACAGGTGAGGGAGGGGGGACCTGTATGTTTACAGGTGAGAGGGGACCTGTATGTTTACAGGTGAGAGGGGACTTGTATGTTTACAGGTGAGAGGGGACTTGTATGTTTACAGGTGAGAGGGGACCTGTATGTTTACAGGTGAGGGGGGACCTGTATGTTGTCAGGTGAGGGGCGACCTGTATGTTGTCAGGTGAGGGGGGGACCTGTATGTTTACAGGTGAGGGGGGACCTGTATGTTGTCAGGTGAAGGGGGGACCTGTATGTTGTCAGGTGAGGAGGGACCTGTATGTTGTCAGGTGAGGGGGGGGCTGTATGTTGTCAGGTGAGAGGGGACCTGTATGTTGTCAGGTGAGGGGGGACCTGTATGTTTACAGGTGAGAGGGGACCTGTATGTGTTGAGATGAGGGTGGACCTGTATGTTGTCAAGTAGGTTAGGCCTAGACTAGTAGGTTTTAGTTGCTTCCATATTTCCAGGCTCAGAGCCAAAAAGACATAATTTGTGGACCAGTCTGACAATGAGTTGCCATTGATACATACATGCTGACACAACCTGACAACGAGTTGTCACTGTTACACACACATGCTGACACAACCTGACAATACGTTTTCATTGATACATACATGCTGACACAACCTGACAATACGTTGTCATTGATACATACATAATGACACAACCTGACAATACATTGTTATTGATACATACATAATGACACAACCTGACAATACGTTGTCATTGATACATACATAATGACACAACCTGACAATACATTGTTATTGATACATACATAATGACACAACCTGACAATACGTTGTCATTGATACATACATAATGACACAACCTGACAATACATTGTCATTGATACATACATAATGACACAACCTGACAATATGTTGTCATTGATACATACATAATGACACAACCTGACAATATGTTGTCATTGATACATACATAATGACACAACCTGACAATATGTTGTCATTGATACATACATAATGACACAACCTGACAATACGTTGTCATTGATACATACATAATGACACAACCTGACAATACGTTGTCATTGATACATACATAATGACACAACCTGACAATTTGTTGTCATTGATACATACATGCTGACACAACCTGACAATACGTTGTCATTGATACATACATAATGAAACACAACCTGACAATACATTGTCATTGATACATACATAATGACACAACCTGACAATACGTTGTCATTGATACATACATGCTAACACAACCTGACAACGAGTTGTCACTGTTACACACACATGTTGACACAATCTGACAAAAGTTGCCATGGAAACACCTTTTGACAGTGTCCATATTGTTGCCAGGAACGCTGTGGACATCTCTGACCCGGTGGTGAAAGCCAAGTGTGGAGTGGGACAGACCAACAAGAGGGTGGAACTGGATGAAGGCAGCATTAACCCACACATGAATGAGGGCTCGCTGTTCAGAAATGTCACCCCTAAAACTTACAAAATTCTAGAACAGCAACTTGGCTCCTCCGAACCTCCGGCATCTGCTCTGTCTCAGCAGCCAGCACAACAGATGGAGCCTGTACATGCCCAGTCAGGTGAGTCTCAGGTGTTCCCTGTTGTCCCACTCAGGTAACTCCTACACTCCCATTGTTGTCCCAATAAGATAACTCTCAGATGTTCACTGTTGTCCCACTCAGGTAACTCCTACACTCCCACTGTTGTCCCAATAAAATAACTCTCACATGTTTACTGTTGTCCCACTCAGGCAGCTCCCATATGTCCACTGTTGTCCTAATAAGGTAACTCCCATATGTCTACTGTTGTCCCAATAAGATAACTCTCAGATGTCCACTGTTGTCCCAATAAGATAACTCTCAGATGTCCACTGTTGTCCCAATAAGGTAACTCCTATATGTCCACTGTTGTCCCAATAAGATAACTCTCAGATGTCCACTGTTGTCCCAATAAGATAACTCTCAGATGTCCACTGTTGTCCCAATAAGATAACTTTCAGATGTCTACTGTTGTCCCAATAAGGTAACTCCCATATGTCTACTGTTGTCCCAATAAGATAACTCTCAGATGTCCACTGTTGTCCCAATAAGATAACTTTCAGATGTCCACTGTTGTCCCAATAAGATAACTTTCAGATGTCCACTGTTGTCCCAATAAGATAAGATAAGATATTACATCAGATGACAGCCTGGTGTATGATCACATTCAGTAATTATTACATTACATGACAGCCTGGTGTATGATCACATTCAGTAATTATTACATCAGATGACAGCCTGGTGTATGATCACATTCAGTAATTATTACATCAGATGACAGCCTGGTGTATGATCACATTCAGTAATTATTTCATCAGACGACAGCCTGGTGTATGATCACATTCAGTAATTATTACATCAGATGACAGCCTGGTGTATGATCACATTCAGTAATTATTACATCAGATGACAGCCTGGTGTATGATCACATTCAGTAATTATTACATCAGATGACAGCCTGGTGTATGATCACATTCAGTAATTATTACATCAGATGACAGCCTGGTGTATGATCCCATTCAGTAATTATCACACTATATGACACCCTGCTACATAGTTACAGTCATAAATATGCTGAGGCAAGCGACCGATTGAGTTCTTCTCTGACATGGACGTACAGGATGCTATCTGCCGGCAATCAGCCACTTATGGCAAACATCTGATGAACGTACAGGAGGCTATCTGCCGGCAATCAGCCACCTATGGCAAAGATCTGATGAACGTACAGGAGGCTATCTGCCGGCAATCAGCCAACTATGGCAAACATCTGATGAACGTACAGGAGGCTATCTGCCGGCAATCAGCCATCTATGACAAAGATCTGATGAACGTACAGGAGGCTATCTGCCGGCAATCAGCCACCTATGGCAAACATCTTATATCCGGAGAGATAGCAAGATTAGATATTCATCTAAGAGATGAAACCATCTTTCTGTATTCTTGTATCTAGGGTAACGTTTCACAACCGGTTCAATCAATCATTTCTTACACAGATGATCTTCCATGCCATGATTTCAAACATCTTTCCTCTCTGTCTTCTTCTGCCTCACTTCTCCTCTAACTTTCCCACGGGCATGATGTACTCCAGTGTTCTTCTTTGCCTGACATGATCAAATTATGTGGTTTTTCCTTTGCATTTAGTTACTTGTTTCTTCAATTCTCTCTACTTCAAGAGCTAAACTCGGCATGAATCATTTGTATCAGGTTATATATCTAATTATCTCTAATTCAAGACCTAAACTCTTTATGCAACATTTTCTGCTTTTAACGTCCTCTTTTACCGGTTCGGGCGTCGAGGGAGATATAAGGTCCTGCTTCATGCTCTTCTGGCTGCTTTGACCACAGACACAATGTGGTGCTGTAGACGTTATCTTCCCATCTTGTTCTTGGTCTGCCTCTTGCTGTACGTCCCTCTCCTCTTTTGATATATACCTTGTATGGCATAGCATCAGAAGGCATTCTCTCTAAGTGGGCTAACCATTTAATTTGCTTTCTGTATTGAGTTTATTATTGGTTATGTGCCGACTTTGTCTCGTATGACCTAACTCCTGATTTTATCTCTATTGGTCACTCCTTCCGTCTTAGTCAATCAGTAGTATGTCCCTTGCAGAACCCTGCTCCCTTAATAACCCTCCAGAAATCTTCTCGATCATAGGCAAGATGTCCTGCGTCCGATTTACCAATCTGGAGATCATCCGCAACATCCTGCACCCATCTTCTCTTTGGCCTTCCTCTTCCTCTCTTCCCAGGCATTTACCCCTCCATTTACCCCTTCAATATTCAGTCCTTGAAGTATGGATGCATTTGTTCTTTTCTTTACTCATGATGTTTTTAGAACCCGTCTATGACATTTGTATTCAAAGACATTCATGCGCTGTTTAGTAAGTGCCCAGGCCTCACAGTCTTTCTCAGGCACCTCATTTCCATGGTTACTAATTTTCTTTTATGTTTTGTTGAGTGACCACGTTTGGCACTGATAGCACAGGGTGGGAATGAATATGCTTTGTATGAGATGTCTCTGTGCTGACTAGGATTGCCTTATGTTGTAAAGGAGGGGGGGGGGGGCTAGCTGTCTCTATACTTGGCCAGCTTTACCGCACTGGATGTCTATTTCTTCGTCCAATTTACTATCTTCAGTGAATGTTGTTCCAACTCACATGCCTGGTTAAAAAATGCCATATATATGTATGCTCTAATGCTATATTTAAATTCTGCTTCTTTTTTACGATTGACATTGCTTCTGTCTTTTCGAAGTTGATTCTTGTAGTAATTGATTTACATTCTTTGTTCAAGGATGTGAGATATTGCAAATTCATGGCTATCTGCAATCAGGGCCTGGTCATCAGCAGAGAGTAATCTGTTGATGTTTCTATTATTTTCATTCCTAGGCCTGGCATCCTTGCATACACTGTCATTGTAGGTGATAAACAGGAGTGGTGATAATCTTACTCCAGATGTTACTCTGAGTGGTTTAGATGTTCCTGGATTTATGTATGACTAGACAAACTTGTATCTAGTCATATACAAGCCTAGGAGCCTGACTATATGCATAATTTGTATCCAGTTATATATCTAATTCTTTCTACTTCAAGAGCTAGACTTTGCATGAATCATTTATATCTAGTTATCTAATTCTCTCTACTTCAAGAGCTAAACTTGTATGAATCATCTGTATCCAGTTACATATCTAATTTTGTCTAGTCCAAGAGCTAAACTCTGCATGAATTATTTGTATCCAGTTATATATCTAATTCTCTCTACTTCCAGAGCTAGATATTCAATGAAGCATGTGTATCCAGTTATATATCTAATTCTCTCTACTCCAACAGCTAGACTTTGCATGCAAAATTTATATCTATTTACATGTCTCTCTAAATCACAAGCCTGGAGCCTGACTATATGCAAAGTTTGTATCCAGTTCACTTTACTGCAACATATTCTTCTGAAGCTATATCTGTCTTCTCTAGACTCCATTCTGACTTTAGGTGTCAAGTTTTGACGAGGCATTTGGTGCAAGCCTTGGTATGTGCTACACAGATGCTGGTATTCCTGGTCTCAGTTTTTCATCTATCCATCTCTTGCATGGGCAACCTTTAGCTTGGCTTCCATTGTCTAAGTGGCAGGGGTCTCTCTGGTGCACTATATGATATGGTAGTTTTGACACATGTTCAACCAAACTTTTCATCTATTTCCTTTTTGTTGTAGTTTAGCACTGGTTCCATCCCAACTTATTTCCTGACATTGTCATTTCTGATCCTGTCTCATCTTGTTAGTTAGGATTCTTCACATACATTTCACTTCTGCTATTTCGATTTTTCATTTGTTGTTGGTGTCCACATTTGGCACTGGTGACTCAAAGTTGGTAAATTACTGTACTGAACTGTGCTTTTTGGTGCCAACTGTTTTATATATATATTTGTTCTGCAATAACGTTCTTATAAAGACACCACTGTATGGTAACACAATTCTGGTAATATCTACCCACGTAAAATGACACTGCTGTACAGTAACACAATACTGGTCATGTCTACCCATATAAAATGACACTTATAGATACCACTGTGTGGTAATACAACAGTGGTCATGTCTGTGAAGGCAGGCAAGCAAAAGGTACTCAGTGAGACAAGTTTGAAGGTAAAATCAAGAGGTGATTGCCGAAATAAACTGTGGCGGTGTCCTGCCAGAATAGTCGCCCAGGTTTGATGTTTCATTGACTACGTCTAGTACCATGAATGTGTTGTGTAGTGCCGAAACGGTTGTGACTCCCTATACTATATAACTACACAGAGGTCATTCATTGACTGCACATTACCGTACTCACTTAAAGCCGTGAATAGCAATAGAACGTCCATTTATTTAGCAAGCTCCAAGATAAAGAACAATCTCTTAGGAACATGACGAAAACAACACAAAGTACATACGTTTTTGTGTCCCGTCTCTAGTCAGGTTGTCTAATATAATCCCGCTTATTCACACCCTGGCGCTCTACACACTGGATCCTAAGCCCACATGTAAAAGCCTCTTTACCGATGAAGCATTGAAAACATCTGTCTGACCGTCCCCTATGATTTCCTTATCATCAAGCATGTCGTAGGATGTAATAATGAGGGTTGGTCATCCTTTCTTCCTTCACTGTAGCTGTTAGACCTCCTATTCTATAGTCATGTCTTCTCCGTCGTACTTCTGTCTTTTGTCAAGCCCAGCTTCCCGTGTGACTGGACTGGTGGTCTTTAAAAGAGCCCTAGCGCTCTGTGCTCATTGGGGAAGGTTCGGATCTCTTAAGGGTTTCAACTGCGTTCCCTGTGGAGTATTTGCCTGCACCTATTCCTCGGCAGTAGGGACATCACTATGTAACGAAAAAGCAATGCTGGAGATCCACTAGAGCCACCCTTCATTGTGAAGATGGCACCTGACTGATTCTACCAACAGAAAACTATTGTTCTTGTATAAACTTCCACCCTTCATTGTGAAGACGGCATCTGACTGATTCTACCAACAGAAACCTATCGTTCTTGTATAAACTTCCAGCCTTCATTGTGAAGATGGCAATGAGCTGATGCTATCAGTGGAACTGATCGTTCTCTAAAAAATTTAGTCTTAAGCTAGGAATGAACTGGGTAGCTTTTGTGGGTTAATAAAACTTAGGCATGTCTGACAACTAATCAGTACAAGATGAAGAGCAGTGCTACTCCTAACAACATGTTTACTGTACCTTTCAGCCCAACCCAAGCCTTCCTCCATCTTTGACAGAAAGAAGCAGGAAAGATCAGACTACTTGGTGGCACAAGGGCAGTCTATTCAGAAAACCTATGGGGAACAGTGAGGCAGAGTTACCAACTCTGTAGCTACCAACAATTTTAGTTTAGATGACAAAATATATTTATACTATCATGGAATCCAGTCCACAAACACAGACCTGACATAGACCTGGAATCCAGTCCACAAACACAGACCTGACAGAGACATGGAACCCAGTCCACAAACACAGACCTGACGGAGACATGGAATCCAGTCCACAAACACAGACCTGACAGAGACATGGAATCCAGTCCACAAACACAGACCTGACATAGAACCCAGTCCACAAACACAGACCTGACAGAGACATGGAACCCAGTCCACAAACACAGACCTGACATAGACCTGGAATCCAGTCCACAAACACAGACCTGACAGAGACATGGAACCAAGTCAACAAACACAGTCCTGACAGAGACATGGAACCCAGTCCACAAACACAGACCAGACATACAAATGGAAACCAGTCCAGAAACACAGACCTGACATAAACATGGAATCCAGTCCACAAACACAGACCTGACAGAGACATGGAACCCAGTCCACAAACCCAGACCTGACAGAGACATGGAATCCAGTCCACAAACACAGACCTGACAGAGACATGGAACCCAGTCCACAAACCCAGACCTGACAGAGACATGGAATCCAGTCCACAAACACAGACCTGACAGAGACATGGAACCCAGTCCACAAACCCAGACCTGACATAAACATGGAATCCAGTCCACAAACACAGACCTGACAGAGACATGGAACCCAGTCCACAAACCCAGACCTGACAGAGACATGGAATCCAGTCCACAAACACAGACCTGACAGAGACATGGAACCCAGTCCACAAACACAGACCTGACATAAACATGGAATCCAGTCCACAAACACAGACCTGACAGAGACATGGAACCCAGTCCACAAACCCAGACCTGACATAGACATGGAACCCAGTCCACAAACACAGACGTGACAGAGACATGGAACCCAGTCCACAAACACTGACCTGACAGAGACATGGAACCCAGTCCACAAACACAGACCTGACAGAGACATGGAACCCAGTCCACAAACACAGAACCTGACAGAGACATGGAACCCAGTCCACAAACACAGACCTGACATAGACATGGAACCCAGTCCACAAACCTGACATAGAACCCAGTCCACAAACACAGACTTGACATAAACATGGAACCCAGTCCACAAACACAGACCTGACATAGAACCCAGTCCACAAACACAGACCTGACATAGAATCCAGTCCACAAACACAGACCTGACATAGAACCCAGTCCACAAACACAGACCTGACATAGAACCCAGTCCACAAACACAGACCTGACAGAGACATGGAATCTAGTCCACAAACACAGACCTGACAGAGACATTGAACCCAGTCCACAAACACAGACCTGACATAGACATGGAATCCAGTCCACAAACACAGACCTGACAAGAGACATGGAATCCAGTTCACAAACACAGACCTGACATAGAACCCAGTCCACAAACACAGAACCTGACAGAGACATGGAACCCAGCCCACAAACACAGACCTGACAGAGACATGGAATCCAGTCCACAAACACAGACCTGACATAGTACCCAGTCCACAAACACAGAACCTGACAGAGACATGGAACCCAGTCCACAAACACAGACCTGACATAGAACCCAGTCCACAAACACAGACCTGACATAGAACCCAGTCCACAAACACAGACCTGACATAGAACCCAGTCTACAAACACAGACCTGACATAGAACCCAGTCTACAAACACAGACCTGACATAGAACCCAGTCCACAAACACAGACCTGACATAGAACCCAGTCCACAAACACAGACCTGACAGAGACATGGAACCCAGTCCACAAACACAGACCTGACATAGAACCCAGTCCACAAACACAGACCTGACAGAGACATGGAACCCAGTCCACAAACACAGACCTGACATAGAACCCAGTCCACAAACACAGACCTGACAGAGACATGGAACCCATTTCCCAAACATGGACCTGGCAGATATGATATGGAGAGGCAGACTTAACGCAGCCCTGAAACTGAGTCCAGAAACAAAGATCTGATACAGACAGGAAAATGAGTCCAGAAAAACAGTCCTGACAAAGAATGAAACCGAACAGCGAAACATGGTCATGAGACGGACATAACACTGCTTGCAGAAAAATGCATTAAAGACAAGATACAAAACTCAGGTCTGAAACACGGGCTGAGACAGATACAAAACCAAGTTCTGAAACATGAAAAGACAGACAGACATGAAACCAAGTTCTGAAACATGAACAGACAGACAGACATGAAACCAAGTGCAGTAACATGAAGTCAAGACAGACGTGAAACTGATTTCTGAAACATGAACCGAGACAGACATGAAACAGTGACGGTGACAGGGACCTGACACTGACAAGACACCAAGTGCAGAAACAGAGACCTGACAAATGGACAAGACAGGGCAGTCATGAATTCAACAGCTTGTGTGAATATCTCTCACTATCTATGACTGTTTACCATTTTTTTATTTTGTCGATGTAGCCAAAATAGTTCATGTCAACCTTAGGTTATAAACATCATATGTATGACAGACTTCATCCACATGTACATTCAAGTGTACACACTCAAACTCGATGCATAAGCTACATCCAAATTACACACTCTGACCAGATGTACAAGCTACATCCAAGTGTACACATTACACCCAAGTGTACACATTACACCTAAGTATGCCCATTACATCCAAGTGTACAAATTACACCCAAGCATGCCCATTACGTCAAAGTGTACAAATTACACGCAATAGTACACATTACACCGAACTGTACACATCAAACTCTAACTGAATGTACAGGCTACATCAAGTATACCCCTCTCTCGATCGTACACAAGTGTACACACAACATAGGTACCTAAGGAAACTAGAGTGTATATAGTTAAGCTGCATTAGCGATCACCGGTGATTGGTTAGTTAGTTAGTTAGTTAGTTGGGTTATCATCATTGCACTCCGGACATGTCCATAGGTGCTCAGATCCTCCCCTCAGTATGAATCCCAACGTCCGATGGCTAATAGTACCAGTTCTATGTTGATTAACAAGTCTTCTGACGTGTCCGGTGTGCGTCTCGTTTTTTGCTGTGCCGATCTTAATTCCCAAGTCTGCCATTCTGGCGAGTGATGTGGATTCACTGCCACCAAAGTCCTCTATCCTTCCCATTTCTCTGAGGGCATTGATAATATCAGCATGATCCATAGGCCGACCGTCGGTAGTGATAGCGGATCCAGCCAACCTGTCAGCTCTTTCATTTCCATCGACGCCTGCGTGTCCCGGAACAAAAATAAAGGTGACTCCTCGCACAGTGGACTTCTGAATTGATTCAAGCCATTGTCTTCGCACTGAACCTGCCCGAACCCTCCGGATCATACTCATTGAATCACTGAGTATACATATGCGGGTGTATTTTTGTGTTTCAAGCCAGGCAAACGCTTGCGTCACTGCCATCACCTCCATCGTCATGCTGCTGGTTGTCATGGAGAAGGCGCCGTTGGCTTCTTTGACTGTTCTGCCCGCTGAGCGTGCTGTAAATGCCCATGCGCTTCTTCTTTGGCGTATAACTGATCCGTCTGTATAGATTAGTGCATCTGCTTCGTCTGAATTTTCACCGATGAGAGCGTTGACCTCTGCATTAACAGCAACAGGATTATCTTCTCTACATCGCCTGTTGAGTGTGACAATACAGGAAAATGTACAAATAAACGCCTGAGGCACAGGTATCCATTCTGCACCAGGTATGATGTCGGTTAGGCTGCATATTTGCCTAATAACATCTTCTGCCCGACCTAGCCACGATTTTCCCCTCTTCAGTCTGTCGCCCTTTTCACTAAAAAGCGCTTGATGCAGTGGGTGTTTCTTATCAGCACATATTTTGAGGTATGCCCGAGCCCTCCACATCCTGATCCTTTGGTTCATTGTTGGAAAGTCAAGTAGATACCTCATTGCTCCACAAGATGTGTCTCTTGTACATCCCAAAATAATACGCATGGCTTCATTTTGCACCCTCTCGAGTCGTTCAATCTGGGTAGCACTGACAGTGAGGATGGCCAGAGCGTATTCAATGGGGGAAAGGACCAGACCATAGAATAGAAGCACCAGCAGTCTTTGCTCGATATTGGAAGCAGCCATAATCCTCATTGCAGATAGACCTTTGCGTGCTTTTGTTATCGCATGGTCAACGTGTTCCCTGAATGACAAGCTGCGATCGAACCTCACCCCGAGAAACGTCATAACGTTGGTTCTGATCAATACATTATCACGCATTTTCACTTCTGGTAAGTCTGACTTGACAATGTGATTGTTCAAAGAGAACCATGACACTGATGCCTTCGAGGGATTGACATAGGCATTGGAACCATCACACCAGGCGGCAATTCGATCGAGTTCTTTGTGCATTGTGCTGGCGATCTCCTGTCTATCACGCCCTCGTCGATAAATCAAAATGTCATCAGCAAATGACAAAGTCCTTCCCTTTCCATTCAACTGCTGCTCAGTGATCATCACCGTATAAACATTGAATAAGACTGGTGATAGCGGTGATCCCTGTGGCAAGCCTGGACATATCGTTTGCGGTTCTGAGGACCAGCTACCACATCTTAGTACAATCTTTCTCTGGAACAGGACCGCAGCAATCCAGCGGATCAGAATAGGATTGACTTCTAGTTTAAGCAGTAATTGCATTAAATAATCATATGGTACTTTATTGTAGGCATCTTCTAAGTCCAACACTGCCGCACATGTCTCTTCTTTAATCTGAAATCCCTCGTACACATCGTAGGCGAAAACAGCAGCATTGGACCATGTCTCTTTCTTCAATCTGTACCCTCCAAGTGTTGATGGGAACTTATCATGTAGTTCCAAGTAGGTGGTCAATCTTTGTGCGACAATTTTTTCCAAAAGTTTGCCAACAGTATTCTGCATCGAGATGATTCTGTAGCCGCAGATCTTTGAGTGGTCTTT